TCCTATATAGTAAATAAAAAATGTAATTAAAGTAATAATATAACTATACTACCTAATCAAGAATAATCTTAACTAGAGATTTAAACAAAAAGTACATATTCATCAATGTCCTCCTCACCAAACCTTGCACAAGTTCCGGAGTATGATGAAGGAGCATAATATTCTACACACAATAGAGAAAAAATTGGGTTTTAATTTAACGTGTAGGGTATATTGAAATTAGGCTACCTGAGCAGTGGGCTGGGTTATTGGGTTAAGGTTTACTTAATGTTAATTGGGCCATAATTCTGGGAAGCTCAATTGTCAAAATTGCCCAATTAATTTTGAGAAAGAATAATGGAAAGCCCAATTGTCCAATCAATTTTTTTTAACGGGTAATCGGTTCGGGGCAGAGCACCATCGTTAAATATCATACCCGCCCTTAAATGAAGCGATTCATTAAAATCAAAATCGTAACCGTCCCATTGCACAATCGGTTTGATTTTTTTCTGCTCATTCAGTTCAGTTAACCGCATTTTTCGATTTTAACAGTTCGAATTGTCGTCCCTATTCATCTCCAATGGTGTTACAAACACAGTCTAAGTGACATTAAAGTTAATGCCACATTAACTCCACTTAAATTGTGTTTGTAATCTCAGTGGGGATTAATAGTATTACTCTAAATTATATTGTTTAAATATGAATTAACATTTTAGATCCTAATTTCTCGTACTCGCGTTAAGTGTCGAAAACCGTCTTTAACCCTCCACATCATCTGGACCCTACTCCAGCCTACAAGTTCTCTCTCTCATTTTTCTCCTCCCCCTCCTCTCCTTAGTGGCGAAGGAAAATCTCTCTCTCTCTCTCTCTCTCTCACACACACACACAGAACACGACAACAGCACCGATGCATGAAACGGAGCTCCACGATCTGTCGGATGACGCTGATTACGCTGCGTCGATTCAACAAGTATTCGATCTTACAAATTACTTGATTTTTACTTTATCACACATGTTCAATTGTTAATTATGAATAATAGGCGTTTTAATCTCGTACTGCTTTTGATTGCCGCGCCGCATTGATGTGAAATTTCTAAATTGGACACTGTTTTTATTAATACGATATTACTGGCGTGATGTTGTTAGGGTTCAGAGAGCATTTATCGTGGCGACAGCAGCAAACAGAGCTCAGGAAGCGACCCAGAGGGTGCGGAAATTGTGTATTTGAAAGATAACGTGGCAATTCATCCAACTCAATATGCGTCGGAGAGGATCAGCGGCCGATTGAAGTTGATTAAACAAGGAAGTTCTCTTTTCATGGTACCGATTCATCAGTATCACCTATTTTTGTTGAAAATTAGAGGATGCTGCAAGTCATTATTTCAAGTTGAATTCTATTGTATATGGTGTGAGTTTCATAGCTTTATGGTTAGGAAAAAAATGAAGTATCTGCATGTAAGTTTTAGAGCTTCTGATGGTAGACTGATATTTAATGGTTTACTCTCCTCTTTTTGCAATAAAAAGATTAGTTCGATGTTATGGATTTGAAGACAAAACAATTAATTCCTTGTAAACTGTAATTCTTGTTTAACTTCTCAAACACTTTGCATGCTTTAAAGTCAGCTTAATCAGATAGAAATTAAGTTTCTCCTTTAGTCCAGCTACTTTATTGAATTTTACTGCTTGATTTGATGAAAGTTGTCAAGATCACATTTTACTTCGATGAGATGAGGTGTTTAATAGCAGCTATGAGAAGGTTATATGTGATAATGAAAAACTACAGGGGGTATTAAAGTGCAATTTTTAGTGCAAGTATATAACTAGTCTATTGTGAATTGGTTTTTGGAGTGATATCCTCCGTGTAATTGTAGACTTGGATTCCATACAATGGGCAAAGTTCTAATGCGAGGTTGTCTGAGAAAGGTTAGGCTTGAGTTTCACTTACTGTAATTTTTCTTATATGATGTGTAAAATAGCACAACACACACAAATGTGTTAGTTTTTCATAACTATGTGTATTGCTTATGCTTTTCAAATATATCTTGGTGCAGATAAGAACCTTTATACTATTAGAGCAGTTCCGCTTTCTGAAATTCGATCAATACGTAGACATACTCCAACTCTAGGGTGGCAATATGTTATTGTGGTTTGTTCATCAGGTATGCTTATCATCTACTGGCGATTTCTTTTATGTTCTATATTAATACATTTCCTTATTTTTGATCACTGGTATCTTCCTAACATTTGATGACTCATTCTCCATCGCTATAGTTTACTAGGGAAATATTTTTTTCTAACTGAAACAAGAAGAATGGCATGGTTTTAAACTTGAACCAAAGAGGAAGAGGTCTTTCTGCGGAAGCTGAATTGGAATTGAAATTTTTGAAACAAGAATAAAGTTGAACCAACTCAAAAATAAAGTAATTAAAATTGAAAATTAGAAAAAGTCCTTATCTATACTAGAGATACTACAACGATAAATAACTATTATTCTATTTTTGGTTGAAGAAGAGAAAATTAATCAATAACGAGAAAATCTTTAAAGTTTCTAGATCAAGTTGTGAGGATTTGAACCTAGCTTGGATTCGAGGAAAGTTCCTGGCCATCGTTGCTATGATCTGGGCTCATTGAAGCGACTAATATTTATAGCAGTCAAATCGTACAAATTTTTGTCAGCAACATCTTTAAAACCTATACATACTCATTTCAAATTCTAGACCAAGGTTGGTAATTTTGTAATCCTCCTAACATTGTTGCTAGGATGTATGCCATAATCACCATATGTGGCCATCAGACTAGGGAAAAACCTTGCTCTAACACTACTAATTTGGTGTCAAAGGGGAATTGAAATTCTTAAAATAAGAATAAAGTTTAACCAACGTGAAAATTTGTAGAGAATAATTTTGTTATAATGAATTGGTCATTGAAAAATTACAAATCCTTTGTATATATATGCAAAATAATCTCCTAATCCTAATTGTTTAAGGAATATTAGTAATTAAAACCTAAAAGAATGAGTAATCAAAACTTAAAAGAATAGACAGTCCTAACCTAAACAAGAAATAAAATCAAACAACAACTATAAATAACTCCTATCCTATTTTTATGGTCTTGATATTTCACTCCATTATTAGTTAAAAAAAAAAAAACAGAGGTTAATGAACTTAATATTAGCAAACATACGAAATTTTAAAATTTTAAATGTTTATTTCTGAGCATTTCTTTTTAGTGAGATGTTTTTCATTTTTAATATTAAAATGTTTTATGCTCCTTCCATCTCAAATTGTACAGCCGCCTTGATTTCTCATATAGGTGGCCACTTACCTAAAACTAATTTTCTTTTTTCTAAAATTACCCCAAATTAAAGAGATCTCATCCTATGGCCTCGGCCCTCATGTACAGTGCACATGGATCATCTATGATGGGCAATTTCGGAAGTTTATGCAGAAGTTCCCATTTCAACTCTTTCATAAAAGCCAGTACCCTGTAATTGCGATCATTCAATATAAGGAGGGAACACTTTTGATAAACTTTAGTTCAGAGTTTTATTCACCTCATTTATTTTCGTTCAGGAAGATGGTTAACCCGAGACTGTACTTTCAGTATTTATATTGGCTAAATTTTATGATTAATATGCAAACGCAATGGTTAACCCCGAGACTGTACTTTCAGTATTTATATTGGTTAAATTTTATGATTAATATGCAAACACAGGTGAGTGCATATGGTTTTTTTTTTTTTTAACAAAAGGTGCACATATATCATATATGTATTGGTTCTCTAGGCATAAATTTAGTGCCTTTGGCTGTTACCTCTTATTTGTAGTTTCTAATGCTGCTCTTTATTTTCCTAACTTGTTTCTTTTCGGCTTGACTTTTCAATTTTCACTCACCTTTAGACAATGACTCTTACCACTTGTAGGACTAGCATTTCCTCCTCTTTACTTTTACAATGGTGGAGTTAGAGAATTTCTTGGAACTATTAAGCAACACGTTTTGCTTGTGAGGTATGTTTTTGCCACTCTGCAATTCTTCTTCACTAGTATAACCTTTTTTTTTTTTTTTTGTAAAATGTGACAAAGGATTATTAGTTTGTCTATTCTAATTCATTTAAATTGATCATTGAATGCATCAACAAATGCTTATACTTGCTAAAATATTAATGATCAATAAATAATTATCTAGTGGCTAACCTGCACCTAAAACCAGACTCAATAGGAAATAAACTAATTTTGAGGTGTATATAAAAACTCTTTACGAGTGGAATGTTCCAAGTAGTCCTCCAAAAAAAAAGCGTTGTTCCCAATAAATTTTGGAGTTGACTACATGAATGCTTTTTCGTAGTTCACTCGGTCCATCACTAAGGGGTTTTTAAAGCTGGGGTTTTAATGGGTTTTGAAAGATTATTAATTCTCATGAATTTGAATGGAATTCCATAAAACCCATGAGAATCTCATTAAAAAATGGTGAAATTAGGAAAAAGTTTGTAATGTGTATTTTTAAGTTTGAAATTCATTCAAATATTTTAGAATCCCTTATTAATGAAATCCTATAAATCCATGATTTATAGGGGACACCTAGATTTTAATAAATCTGAATTGGGGACAATTAAAATCCATTAAAATCTCAATTGGGGGGCACATGGATTTATATAGACTTAATTCGTTGAAATCTCAATTGAGGTCTGTGGACATACCCTAAACCTATTGGAAGATCCAATTCACTCATGACTCATACTGCATCCCTTAAAAGAAAAGAAAAAATTAGTAAGCAATATGTAATATGATTGAATGCTTGGTTGGTTGGATGCATCAGACGCTGATTTTACTAGTCAATTACTTGTGCTTTAAGTTATATTATAAGGAAAATTCCTAAGTCGTTCTTTTCTATCCTTGGAACGTTAATATTACATGGAACCTTCTTTGGACACTAGCTCCTACATTTCAAAAGTTTTCCAAGAAGTCCTGAAATCGAAAAGAGAAATGTAGGTCGTTCCCTGCTCCCCCCTCTAATCTAAAGACATTACTATTTGATGCTTCATCATTATTGAAGCCATAAACATGAAATTTGAATATTATAAAATAGATATTTCTTAGTGAGCTTGTTTATGATGCCAAGTTATTAAATATAATCAATTGCTTGCCGATTGTTGGTAAAGTTGATTTTAAAAGTGTAGGATAAACTACAGACCACTTCTATACAAAAGGGGAAATGCGATGCTGAATATGATTGAATAGTGCCGAGTTGATTCTGGAATGTAGAAATGTATTACATGATTACAAGTGAAACAAAGGATGAAGAGGGAAAATGACATAGACAATATGTTGTTATAAGGCTTTGGCCTAACAGGATTTAAGCCCGCCTTTGTATGGAAATATATGCTATTTAAAGCGGGTTGTTTACGTAATTATTGGAGGTGGACATTCCAAGAAACGATAGCAATTGATAGAAAATATAGGGGTTGTTTGACAGTTTTTGCTAAAATTTTTAGTTGATTTTGATAAAAGTTGATGAAACGTATGGTTGAAAAGTTGATAAAAGTTGTGGATCCCATGAAATACGTGGTTGAAATTAATTTTTGACTTTGACCTCAACTTATTAGCAACTTTTTAAGCTTTCCCAAATAAGCACTAGTAGTTTGCTAAGGTTCTAGGATTTCTTTCAAATCACTTTTGTGGGAAAAAAAGTTTAATTGGAGATAACTATTGGCTGGTGGAGACTTCGATGTAACTTTCCTCTTAACCATTCCACCATATAACCATTGCAACTGTTTCCAATTTCACTTGGGAAAGAAAAGTAAAGTAGCGCATACTGCAATGGTAACCACAATATGTGGAAACAGTTCTTTTCAGTTGCTATGATTGTTACTAGTTTCTCACTAGATTTTATGTAACCAGGTCAGCTGAAGATGCTAATGTATTTCTTGTGAACGATTTTCAAGATCCTCTACAGGTGAGCATTATATTTAGTCATTTGTTGGTTTTTACACGAGCCTAAGGAATAAGGTTGTCTATTGTGAATAACTACTTTCCTTTCCTGTAATGCTTACAATTGCTTCGTACAGAGAACTCTATCTTCTTTGGAGCTTCCCAGGGCTGTTTCTGTTGCAAATGGTCCCTCTCCAACTCTTTCTACTGAATCCGCCTCTGGTGGTGATCCAGAAAATGGTGCTTCTGATCAAAGCTCTATTAGTTTTCAGCAAAATGGCAGGCAGAGGCAAAAACATAATGATCCTGCTCGGGATATTTCAATTCAAGTGCTAGAGAAATTCTCTCTTGTCACCAGATTTGCTCGTGAAACAACTTCCCAGCTCTTCCGTGAAAGTCATATTGATGGCTTTACTCCTAATGAAAGGAAGAAGCACAATCAGTCTACCCATGAGCACCAGAGTGTTATCACGTCTAATGATTCTCTAAAAGTTCCAGAGGATGTTCCTGTAACCTCAGATACCCCCTCCGATCCCCTGGAGGTAACATATAGAGCATGTGTAGACTGGCTTATAAATTTATTTAACTTATGAGGAGTGAGAGTATGTACGTGGAATAAATAAGCTTATAAGCACCCGAACATGTTCTATCCTCTCTCTCTTCCTCTCTTACACAAGTTTCTGGAAACCTGACCTTGATGGAGAAATGTTATTTACCTGTGGGTTTCTCAGCGACCGAGGGAAAAGTAACTGGAAACAAAATATAGCCTATTTAATTTTTTTGGCTTATGAATTGTGATGAGGTATATAAGAAGCCTTATTGTTTTACTGAGAATCTCTATTCGTTCCCTCTTTAATAAAAAACACGTTATCCATCTTTTTCAGTTGAAATTTGTCAGAAATTTCATTTCTATGCCAGGAATTTTAAGTTGAAGTCTACTTTGACATCCATGCCCAATATAGGACACCTGATCTGAATTTGTCTTATTTAGTCCCATTTATGAGAAATCTCAAATCAATGTAGGCCACCTGAAGCTAATTGCTTCAGAAATCTTATCTTTGAAAGCTCATTGTACTCAGATCTTCTATTTTTTGTTTTTCAATAACCACGTGAAGCACCACCACCTCCATTACTGAGGGAACCCATGTTTATTTTTCTGCACATCCTGGCACCAATATTTTTTTTATATATGGGCACCCTAACTATTCCTTGCTACTTCTCATCACACCTAAGCTCTGATGCATTGTGTTACTAGTAGGTTGGCCCCCAAGAAAATGTTCTGAATAATTCATGTCATTCATATGACTGTCAAACTGTCGCAATCCTCTTCCTTTATCCGAGCTTGGAAATTTCTATGTAGAAACCTAGGCACGCTACCATGTCATCTAAGACTGTCTCCCGAAAATCAGATAATCAGTTTGCTTTGGGAATGGAAAAAAATTAATACTGCAGTCTTGTTAGTTATGGATTTGCTCTTGCACAGAATTTTGATGTTAAACGTATAAGTTGTATAAAAATGCTAACCCTGTCATTAAAAACCCTGAACCCAGGTTCCCTAGAATTGTTAGTTAGTCAAGATTCTTTGCGAAGGAAAGTGGAAGTTGGAAGACAGCTGAATATTATGTTTCTTAAACCAACTCGAATTTTCAACTGTAAATGTAAAGATCTCCAATTACCCGTAGCTGGTAGCGATATAAGCTTAGAACTAAACAACAGTTAATAAGAAGTGTTTAAACTACAATGCTGAGGGAGAGTGATTATCTTCCCATTCTGTGAGAGACTAGCATTCTAAGTGGGCACCAGAATATTAATTTCTCCTACTCAAAATGGTGGATTAGCCACTTCCTGGCTGCACTCACTATTATTGCAGCGCATGTATTACTGCATGAGGCCCAAGCCCCAAGCTATGGTTTAGTTTCGTATTGACTTGAGTAGTTTGAGAGTTCTGCAATTTAAGCGATCGCAAGTCATCTAATTTCGTTGCTTGTGTCATATAAATAAATTTGATGGATTTGGAACAAGTTCATTATGAATAATGTTATGATGGAATTGCCTCTGTTTTTATTTGGGCTACTATGTAATTCTTAATTTGGTCATACCCCATCTGTCTAGCTCATCTACATATTCTACGAAGTTGGACTGGCCTACAAATTTCATAATGTCATTCACTTAAGCAAACTACACGCAAATGTGAGATCATTGAATTTTTGAGAAATTCAATATTTTATATGGTGGAGTTAATTTATTATCATTCATAACTCCAATTATATTCACGATTTGAAGTTTTATATGCATTGCTTTAATGTTATCAAACTTTTTTTTTTCTTTATTAAATATGCACAGTGCAATTCTATTCTCAATTTGAACTCCTTTTTATTTTGGCTGACTCGTGTTTCATGAATTTATTTTTCAAATTATGATATTTGCATTTTATAATTTCATCTTCTTTTGTCAGTTTGATAGATTATCACTAGTATGGGGAAAACCACGACAACCACCCTTGAGACGTGAAGAGGTAAATACCATCTTTGAGTATTCTTTGTAAGCATCTAATATGCTATGTTTTTGAGATCGTAGCATTTTTTGCACCATCATATGACTACCATGCCAGAAGATTTATACGTATCCGATTTTACAATTGTCAGCTAATACTTATAGTATTAAGGTTGTAGATTTCAGGTAGTGAGTGATAACCTAAAACTCTCCAAGTCCATTCAAAATCATTGGAAAACCTCCAGCGAGCCTATAGGATGTAACTTCAGGCTTCTATGCACATATATCAAGCTCCAGTATCAAGCCAACGCTCGCCTAAAATCCCCCTTTTAAAAAGTTTTATATTGTCGGCGACAAATGTTATTATATCAGCAAAATACACAATAAATTTAAGTGTTACAAGAATCTTAAATCACAAACTCACAAATCAAAGACCTGGTGACAACAATAGACAAAAATGGGGTTTCAACGTCCACCTTGGAGTTGAGGGTTATAGAAAGGAGCTAAGTCTGTGGAACTAAAGTTTGTAGACGAGAGAGTAAATTAGGGATGATTAACAATGGTAAAATCATAAGTTAGCATGTGAATCTGTTTTCTTTTTGTTGTTGCTTAATAAAATTGAGAAGGTATTCTTTTTTTCTTTTTCTTTTGTTTTTTTTATTGTGCTACTTGAAGGGGGCATGAGCTACGGTTTTGATATCAATTTAGGGCTACTATTTGATCTACTTGTTTCGTCCAATTCCTGTGATGTTTTTCCTTTAGTTATTTTCTGTCTTTTAAGCTGTCATTTTTTTCCTTCTTCTTTTGGTTAATACGACCACTTTGGTTTGATTGTCATACTTTTAATGCTGAAGTAGATTTCCTTTTACTGCACAAGAAGAACTTGTTATATTATATCTCTAAGTTGATAGTGTACTTGCAGTGGACTACATTTTTGGATTCTGAAGGGCGAGTGATGGATTCAAAGGCGTTAAGAAAGAGGATCTTCTATGGAGGAGTGGAGCACAATTTGCGAGCGGAGGTTTGAGTATTTGAACAGGATATTTTTGTTCTGAAAGCATGAAATAACTTTATTTCTTTCAGTTATGTTGTTCTTTATGTCCCCAGTCTGTTATGAGTCTCATCATTATGATTTATAGGTTTGGACATTCTTATTGGGACACCATGAATATGGTTCAACATATGCAGAGAGGGAATACCGCATGTCCATAAGGAAGTCAGAGTATGAAACTATAAAAAAACAATGGCAGGTTAGTTACTAATTGTGTATATGCTTGACATATAGACACATTTGTTTCGAGAATTATTTCAAATCTTATTATTGTTAATACTCAAGTTTACATATGGCCCCATTTTTCACCTTTTGTATTTCAATTCTTTTTTTTAGAAAATTTTATCTTGTGTCATTTTGAATCCCAAATGCTGAAAATTTCCTTACACATACCTTGTATCATCATTGTTGCAGTACACTTGTAATGTCTCCGTCCACCGTGTTGTTGCTGCTCCATGTTGGAATTTTGGAGTATGCCCATAATGAGAGAGCCTTTTGACCTTGTTCCAAATGTAGATTGAAACCCTATTAGCCCTGTTCTTAATTCTTATAGGGTATTCACGAACCAAAGGAAGGCGCCAACCGAAGTTTAGAAATCACATAGGTCAATATATGCTCAGTCTCTGTTAGCAGCTTCAGTAGGACTAGGGTGCACCTTTTCATGATGTTACTTGATTACCTCTCCAATCGTTGCTTCGTCTTATGTTCAATCAGAGAAAGGTCTCAAAAAGAGCCTTTACATTATATTAGATTAGACACTCACTCTAACGGTGTACCATTTGCATGATGGGTCAGCAAGGAAATGGGAAACCATATCTTGGATTACTAGGAAAAAGCCTATATGTTCTAATTAGTAAAGACTCTATTTAGGATAAACTATCAATTTTCCCAGAGGAAAGGACCCACTTATTTGAGACAAATTGACGTGGTATCAAATTATTCTCTTCAAGTCAGATTTTGCCTGGATATATCTTTTATTGATAGTTTTGGTATCTAAATCTAAAACTGAACCTGAGAGTGTAATTTATGTTGAAAGTACCATTGAAGTCAATGGAAAGAATGCTCCAACTGACTGGACACTATAACAGAAGTAAGAGAATATGTCACAGAAGTAAGAGAACATGTCTGATGTCAAAGAGGAATCATTTGCTTCTCTCTCTATGGAATTTTATCTATTCATACCTTTTACCTATCAAGACTTGTGCTTGTCGCATTTCGAAGGAACCATCTTTCTTGAGCTAGCAAACTTAGCTTAAAAAATTATCGAAATATTTTTTCAGAGCATCTCGTCGGAGCAGGCAAAAAGATTTACAAAATTCAGGGAGAGGAAAGGCCTTATCGAGAAGGATGTGGTACATTCCATTAGCACATTTATTGGTCATGTACGTAAATTTATCAAGATGCAGGACACCCTACTTATCAATGTAATACTCTGCTTTTTTTTCTTTTTGTTTCTAGGTGAGGACTGACAGGTCGCTCTCATTCTACGATGGGGATGAAAATCCTAATGTCTATCTTTTACGTGACATACTGTTGTCATACTCCTTCTACAACTTTGATCTTGGGTACTGTCAGGTAGTTAACTTTTATTAGCTTGCCATTAAATAGTCAATGTGATTCTGGTAAATGTGCAAGAATGTTACCATTTTTGAGGTTGGAGGGGGGTGGGTGTTATTAATACATCTTCCAACAATCAGGAGACGCTGCTGTCAATTTTTGAACATAATTTCTTCTTTGATGTGAAGTGTAATTTTTTATGTATGTGTAGATCTCCGTCTTTGTAGTCTATTTTCTCGGTAAATGGATGGTGAATCCTAAAACTTCTGGTCCATGATGAAATTTACCTTAATACATAAATTAACATATTACTTTACCTGCAAGGAGTTTAAACTTGTAAACAAGGTAGTGTCTACATTTTATAATATATTACTTCTTTATGGTAGGCTCATATGGTAAATGATATGATGAAAATAGGTGATATTTTTAATTTTGAAATCCTTTCTTCTCATTTTTTATGAGCTTACCCATTATTGGATTTATCAAAACAGTGTTAATAGATAATAATATGTTGTTTGTTTAAAACGAATGAGCTGATCAGGGAAATTTCCTAAGGTTGCGTTTACTACCATAACCGATCTAGTTATCTTCGTAGTGATCTTCTTGTTCATATCATTGGCACTTGTGAGAGCCTTTTCTCTATTGATGATGCAGTTGTTAGCTCTGTTTCCTGCTGTATGAGACACTTTATTTTCTTGACCTGTAGGGCATGAGTGATCTTTTGTCCCCAATATTATTTGTCATGAGAGATGAATCAGAGTCATTTTGGTGCTTTGTTTTCCTGATGGAACGTCTTGGACCCAATTTCAATCGTGACCAAAGTGGGATGCACTCTCAACTTTTTGCATTGTCAAAGGTTCTCTCTCTCTCTCTCTCTCTCTCTGTACGTGTGCAGGCGCTTGTATGTGGAGGTGGGGGTGGGACTCTGAGGGTGCATGTACCTTGGGAGTTTTAATAGTTGAAAGTGTTTCTGGAACTTGATATTGGTTGCTTAACACGACAGCCGGGCTGAACATTAAGTGGTGGTTACATGATTTTCCAGGACCAACTGTTATAATGTCTTGTGCATTTATTATGTATTTTTTGCTTCAAATATTATTCATACAAAGCACAAAATTCTTTCCTTTGGAGTTAATGCAATCAAACTTACTTTGTCCTAATCCATGAAAGAAGCTTCATATCTATCCGAATAGTGAACAATTCAGCAAAGTACACCAAGATAATCATAGGAAGTTTGTGTGAAATTTTGTAGTTAACCATGTATATTCAAACTACAAACTACAAAATAAATTTACTAGATTTACTTTTTGACGTCCTTTTTAGCTGCCCTATAAAGAAATTTTATTTTCCATTTTATTTCTTACTCCATTACGTGTTTTAAATAGAGCATATATATATGTTTGTTTATCATGACTGCCATACTAATTTTCAAGGTGTATATGCATTGTTCATTCCCTGTAGTCTTTTTCTTTTTTTCGCTCCACATGACATCCTATTGATTTTTTCCAGCTCGTTTACCTTGGTGAATTCTGGCAATTGTTAAATAAATTGTGTTCAGTTTAATAGAAACCTAACATTTATTTGGCTTTTATCATGCAGCTGGTGGAGTTGTTAGACACTCCATTGCATAACTATTTTATGCAGAATGATTGCTTGAATTATTTCTTCTGTTTTCGCTGGATTCTTATACAGTTTAAAAGGCAAGTAGTCAGCTCTCAATTTCTTATTTACTGTGTGCTATTTATTGGTCTTGCAAAATTGTTATCATCTACGTTGATATAATGTGGATTGCTTAACTATCATATTTTCCCTGTAATATGGTTTAGATTGGTTGTCCCAACACTAACGTTCCATTGCTTTGTTAATATTGCAACCATAAGTTGCTGCTAAGTTTGTATGAAGTTCTAGAAAATAACACTCTTTTGGTGGATCTTTAAATCATATTGAACTGCATTATAAAAGATTCAGAGTTAAATGTACATATGAAAACTCGTAGCAATTAAGCAATTTATTTCTTAGATTACAGTTGAGATGTAGTTGGAAACAAATAAGTGAAGAGTGAGAAAAACAAACTCTGTAACTGTACGGATTGTTGTCATTTCCGAATACTGCACTTGTAGAACACATAACCTTGTAGTGCGGTAATATGATTTCATATATTCTTCAGTTTGGCCTGTAGCTGATTGCCTGATGTTTTGCAGGGAATTTGAATATGAGAAAACAATGCGTTTGTGGGAGGTATTGTGGACACATTATCTGAGTGAGCATCTGCACCTTTACGTATGTGTTGCAATCTTAAAGAGATACCGCAGCAAGATAATGGGGGAGCAGATGGATTTTGACACGCTCCTAAAATTTATCAACGAACTGAGTGGTCACATCGACCTTGACGCAATCCTCAGAGATGCAGAAGCACTGTGCATTTGTGCTGGTGAGAACGGGGCTGCCTGTATTCCTCCTGGAACTCCACCTTCATTGCCTCTCGAGGATCCCATGGCATATCCTCAACTGGATGATGATATATTGTAGATGGCACATGTATAAAGAGACATGCCATGACGTATAATTAGTTGTCAGTGATTTTTTGATGCATAATAAGTACGGAACGATTTGAATAGAATGTGTGCTATAGCAGATAACAAGGAATCTTCTACCTTATCTTCAATCTCAGGAGACACAAGTTCCATGATATGTGGTCAAGGGAATGTCTTTTCTGTATGCTTTTGGTTTAGTGTTCTTACTGATGGCTTTCCACTTGAATGTCTGCACTTGCATTGCATACCAGGAAATGTGCTAATATATTTTTATGTTCTGAGCTATTATCAATGTTAGTACATTTTCATTCTTCTGATGACGCTTTTGCAATGCAAATGGACCAAGAGACCGGTGTTTTTCTTTGGTTGAAAGTTAATGCATTGAGATCTTATCCTCCTAATATAGTGTTGATACTGGTCCGGGCATTTAATCCTTCATTTTAGAAATTGGAAATATCAAGTGCAGAAAGTCGATGAATATCCAGAGATACTACATTCCTTTTCTTTTTACTGTCGCGTAGGTGCTGAGTTTCACAGGAACTTCATAAACCTTGAACTCTGCTCTACTGGTATTTATTCCTAGGAGAATGTTTCTAGCGTTAAAGCAGTGGTTGGAAGCCTTCCTTCATGATTTCATCTCCATTGGTTCCAAATGCCTCGAACAAAACGAAGTCATCTAGGATGGGCATGAATAAATCGTCCTCATAGAAGAATGGTGCATAGTTGGTGAGAATTGAAGGTAAATTGATGTCGTAGTCAATATTTTTCAGATTTTCAGCACCAAATTCTGAAACCATATTGACTTCCTCTTCTATTGAGCTACCTGCAGTTTTCTTCTCCAGATTCCCTTCTTGTGCAATTTGTGAACCTGATGATAATTGGCGCTTTTTGTCGCTTTCAGAGTCTAGGTTCATATTTGGGCGTCCAGATGCCCTCTTGTTCAAATGGGTATTCCAATAGTTTTTCACTTCATTGTCTGTACGGCCGGGGAGTCTACCAGCAATCAGCGACCACCTGTTCACAGGAAGCATTTATACTGAGGCAACAATGCATAACCAAAGTGATTTACAGGTGAACTGGCTGGAAACAAGAGGAGGACTGCCTGCTTTCTAACATTTCAGGTTAGTTTGGCTAAGCCTATATGGCGTTCAAGCGAATCTTAAATACATCTCTCTTTGTTTAATGGGTGGTGAACTTAGTATGTTCTAAAAACCAACAAACTTCACACTCACGCGAACAAAAGAACCTCGTGTTCAAAATTTGCTCTAGCGTCATCATATGTCACTTTTACACAGTTTCAGCAATATTCAGTTCATATAAAGTCTTTAGTCCGCGTTGGTTTGAAACATTTTGGTGTTTGACTTCAAAACTTACAAAACCAATTCTCTGTTGGAGTACTGAGTATTAACCTGTTTCCCAGAAGCTTGTGCATTCTGATAATGAGGTCTTTCTCATCTTCCGACATCATACCACGCTTGATGTTTGGTCTCAAGTAATTCTTCCATCTCAGCCTGCAGCTCTTAGGTCCCCTCTGCAGACCTGAAAAACACATGGGGAATAATTGGTTGTCTTGCAGAATCTGTAAACAATAATGGCGTGTTTGATAAACAAGGCACGCACAGACAGAAGAATGTGTGTGGAATTGTACCTGACTTCTTGGAAACAGCAGTCCAGTTCCCTTCTCCATGAGTCTCCACATATTTCTTCAACATCAAATCCTCTTCGGGCTTCCAGAAACCCTTCTTCAATCTTGCCTTCACTTCTTTACCTTCCATGTTCCTTCTCTCTCTCACTTGAAGATTTTGCAGTGAAGATATGAATTCTGTGCATGTTGTGGAAAATATATATAGACAAAAAGATTGTGGGATCTCTTCAGTAAACTGCACCAGCTCGTGCATGAGTGTGCACTATGGATACTATGGATCAATGTGGGGACTGTCTTATGTTGCTTTAGTTGTTGATACTAGCTGATCTTTCAAGAAAATCTGTCATCCGTTGCAAGACCCAAGAAGTACAGTGGCATTATATGTCAATAATTGGTAGATATATACAGTAGACTTAATATGTCTCTGCGGCCATCCCTTTTTGGTGTGAGTAGCAAATGAAGTAACAAACTATATTACTCTTAGGACAGTTTTAACATCACGTAGTAGCATTGCACAAGAGAGGCAGCCACAATTTGAACTTTTTTTTATTTCTCAACTCTATCCAGTCTGTTTGAGTTCATTCCACCAAACATACCATTGTTGTTCTTAGTTTTCGCTGCTGTCGTATTCAAGATCTCCACCATTCTCTTCCTCTTTATGCCGATTCTTCTTAATTGTGTTTGTTTTCTTATAACAAGGGGAACACAATCTAGCATTGAGGAGAATTCAGAGACGGCGTTATTATGTGCTTAAAACAGTTCAATGATAGCCTGGTTCGATTGACCTTGCATGTTTTGTCACATCCATTCTTGATGGAAAACAATATTAATATATTGATTGGGTATTAATATTTTATCGATTCAGGGCATTCGTAAATGATCTACGTTTTATTATAAAAGCGGGCACTTCCTCTTTTATCAATACTTAACTTAGTACTTAAATGGACGTAGAAACACAACAAGTCGGCATTTTCTTCTTCTTAGTTTTAACCAAATCAAGTATTACATATCTTTGTGGCAATGTGAGTATGTTTTTGATGTAGCGTAATAAACGTTTTTTTTTTTGGGGTATTTCAATTGATTTTTTGCATTTTTTTAGACACGTTAAACACAACTATTTGGGATGCAGAAGTGGTTTTGCACAGTGACGCCACTCAATTTTGACAGGCGCACAATTTTGATAAAAAGAAAAGGCTGTCAGACTACGTCGTATAGTGATCTTTTAGGCTGGCTTGCTAGATAGTTTGTTGGAGTTTTTTGAAAAATTATTATGAATCCTTCTAGTCATTCCATCATTTGCTCAATGATTGTATTCTACTAAGCTTGCATGCGAATTAAATAAATGAAATTTCCTTTCTTTCTAATCGATCGTCTGAGTCTAGCCCAACTAAAGAGGTGTAAAGGTGGATTAAATTTTGAACTTCTGGATGCTCGAGCTTGAGCGTGATGGTTTCATCTCAGCTCTTCTATCGTAATCATGGAACCGAAACCATATACTAAAATTTGAGAATTGACTACATCAACTCATGTTTGGAACTTTTGATTACCGATGAAAATATGTTACTCGGTAAATTAACAATATTTTTTGTTGTTCTTCATAATTAACTATAATAAATGGAGATAAATATAAATAAATTAGTTTGTTTATTTTTACTAACTTTAATTAATAGACTAGTTAAATATAATATTAGGAAAACATGTTGTCTGGATTCAACTTTTGTTGATACTCAGTTTTATAAATTTCATGTGCCGGACTTTAGAATGAAAAATAAATTCACGGTGGCCCTAAAATATAAGGGCACGTTTGATTGTAAGCATGAAATTTTTCATGATTCTAGACAATTAAATTGTCTAGAAATTATTAATTAAATCTGTTTGATGGATTTAGTTTTTAAACTTATAAAATATTATCGTTGTTTATTTTTTATTGGTGGGTAAATGAGAGAAAGATGGTGGGTAAGTAAATTACCTGAAAAATAAAAATCACGTATCCATAAAGATTTTTGAGGAAAATATGGTTTCATGACCAAAAGTTGAAAAGTATTTTTCGTGGAAAAAATTGTCAATCAAACACCATAAAGGTAGGAATTCAATTGGGAAAATGACAATTTCCATATAAAAAATAAAAGCCAATAAATTATACTCTTCCAAGTATAAACAAATTCATCTCGTTAGGATGGAAAGATGCATGTATCAACTTGCTAAGACTGTAATAGTTCTAGTTGGTTGATCCTTGTGTCTCTCCCACTCTTCGTTTCATGTTCAGTGCTAAAGGATATCACCTAACAGTCACCGGGAATTAATTTTTATTCCATTAGGTGGTGGCTGGCATATAATGTCTGTAACACATTTTCAGATATTCTTCAGATGAAGTCCTCTCATTTGACACCGGGGAGTGGGGAATGGGCTGTTTATGTCCTTTTTTTGGGGACACGAGAAATAATTTATTTTAAGCAACGGTCGATGGAAATAGAGAAACACAAATCGTGTTCCTTACACCTTATTATTAATAAGTTGAAAAAAAAAATTACAATTCAAGATTGTTGCTTGATGTTCATGTGTATATTATAGTCAAGAATTTTAGATTAAGAATCAAATTTTGATCTGAATCTAAATTACGAACTTTCAATTTTCTAAATCATGAACTTTCAGTTTTTAATTTCAAAATCTTGATGCATTTTACCTTCAACTTTTTTAAGGTATTCTTCAAAGTTAAGACTATATCGACGTGTGAGCACCTTTAGGGATGGCAACGGTTCGGTTCGGCCAAAATCATAGCCGTACCATCAAATTTTTGGTCATACCATAAACGCACCATAACAACGTTAGTCGGTTCGGTTCAGTGTGTATCTCGAATCG